GCATAAGGTGCAGATTTGAAAGTTGTTTCCTATTCTCTTTTTACTGTAGCTCACAGCAGCTGAAAGACACAGAGATGGAAAGATAGAGCATGGTGTGTTCCCCCTGTGGGCATAGCTTGGTTGCAACATGTCTCCATTACTGCGGCAATTGTCTTACTGTTTTCATCAGTACTAAGAAAGGTCCTTCATATCTGTGCCGACATGTGTGTATATTGCAATAGATGCGATAACTGTTCTCTTTGCTGTTCTAGTGCTGCCGCCATCACACTATCTTCCCACTTCAGATTGAAATCAACTCTGGGAAAAGTGCTGAAAAGCATCAAAGTACTGAAAGCAAGTCAATTCATAGCAGTCAGTATCAGTGATGTCTTTCAGAGGGGCTGTCCTGGTCTTTTTATGCCTACGTGCAGACAGACAGCAAAGCAAAAGCAGAAGTTTCTGTTCTCTGACACCTCAGGAGGAGACCTCTCTCCTCCTCCTCCTACAGCTTCTCTCACACTCACTTCTTTACCTTTTCCACAATCCTTTGATAAAAGTACAAATAAAAGAGAGTCTGTGCTCATCTCTCTGTTCATCCATCTCTCCTTGAGGTTAGAACCTCTTTTATTATTTACTATTAGATCAGTAGACCTACATACACACACCGCCTTGTTCTACTAAAGCTGGTGTGTCCACATTCTGTCTTTGCTTATGAATCTGTGTGCTTCATGCCCCTTGTGTAAGTATCCGTTACTCTTTTGCATGTTTATGTGTGTGTGTGTGTGTGTGTGTGTGTGTGTGTGTGTGCGTGTGTGTGTGTGTGTGTCCTTGGCTGGAGGCGATGCAGTGTGAGGTTTTTGCTGCTGTCTGAAGTCCTCCAGCCTCAGTGTCATTAGAGGATCTCTTTAATCCAGACTTTGGGAGAAACTTCTGACAACGTGCTGCAAATAGAAGGCCCTGCTGCACAGCGAAGAGCAGCTCGCCTCCTAACAAAACACCAAGCTTAAAACGGCCCGTGGCCTTTTTTCCTCCTCCTACAATTCCCTCCCTTCTTTCTTCTTTGCTTTTTTCCTGCCCTCTGTTGCTTTTACTTCACCCAAGGGAAACATGCTTGCCTTATCTGCACAGGAGGACCACCCAGGATAGGTGACTCAGGCATTGGTGTGTCTGTGCACCTGTGTGCATGTTTATGTGCATATAACACTGGAAGTGCACACTCATTTGACTGAGTGTAACACACATTTTTAGAACTTTTGCTGTTAATATTAATGCATGCCTATACCTGCATGGATCGCTCTGAGCGGTGTGTTTGTTGGTACTTGCGTACACGTGTACCTTGCTAATCTTTTGAGTCAAAGTTTGGAATGAAAGGCACATTGCTGATGGAGAGGTGAGAGAGCCCTCGGAGCTCCACATGTTTTTCTCCTACAGTCCCCCCCAACCTTGTTGCTCATTCTCACCTTTCTGAACTTCTCTTCTTTTCTTTCTCTTTTCCTGATATTGTCACATTTCTGTCTTATCTTCACTTTCATTGTCCATTGTCTCCACTCTGTTCTTCCACATCCCTTCCCTTCATCTTTCTCTCCTTAAGGAAATCTGATTTCTTCTCTTCCTGACCTGTTCACAATGATTTCAGGATGCATGGCTGATAAAGACCATATCACCCTGAGCATCTGGAGACATTTTAGTAGGATCCTCTACACACAGTCATGTGTACATGAGTGTTGACGGCTGTGCTAGCAGTACATGTGTGTCCGTATGGAGTTCAGACATGAACCTAGACTTGGAAAATGAGGGATCAGTGGTATAATGGCAATGGACCATAGTTGAAGCACCTCTTCAGAGTTTTTTTTTTTTTTTTTTTTTGTGGAATGGTGTTTACAAGTGTTCTTTCTCATATTTACCCATGAATGATTAGAGAAGCATCTGTTATTATTAGCCATATACATGTGCAAATGCATTATCATTTGAGCTGTTTCCTCACAGACTAGCAAGTTAAAAGTCAGACACCAGTATTTATACTGCATAAGGAGGACTGGTTTGTCTGAAGCAGCAACCTCTGGGGCTGAGAAATGAAGCCTATGCAGAAGTCTTAAACCCTGCAGTTCTTTGAACGGCCACTTAATGCTGGTACCAAAAGGGAGTTAATAGGGAGCCTTTGATTCCCATGTTAAAATGCTCAAGTTTACAGCAGAAATAATCATGTTTACAGCTTGGTACAAATAATGGTTTTAGATAGATCGATAGATAGAAAGATACTTTATTGATCCCGAGGGAAATTCGGGTATATAGCCAATTTCCCCTTCTATGACAGTGGTACAGGGGTGAATTTTTATTTAACTCACCCATTTAAATGTTATTAAGGCCCTAGGTGGCTAGTGAACTCCACTTACACTCCACCTCTGCCCATTTTTGGATTAGCTGTATCAGGTGCAGTGAAGCGCTAACAATATGGCAACAACCATACCTGAGCTTCAAAACCTGTCTTCACAAAACTAATGGGTGACGTCATGGAAGGTTTGTCCATCTTTTATATACAGTACAGCCCATGGTTTGTCTACATTTTCATTGTTTTGATTCATTGCTTCATTTTTTTTATGTTAGCTATGTCTGTTAGAGCAGCATCTATTTATGTTTGTGTGTGTGTGTGTGTGTGTGTGTGTGTGTGACCCCAGGGCTCACTATCATGTGATATGATCACTATGTCAGACGGTGATAATGACTAAATATTTCTGACGTCCTTTCTGATTCACAAAGCACTTTGATTCGTCAGCAGACCCATCCCGTATAATTCTATTAACAAAGCGGTATGTGTTGAAGTTCTACCCTCAGATTTGTTTTGAGCACATCAATTACAGAACCCACATAAAAGAGATGAACACATCACCAGTGAGGCCCACTAGTCAGCCTTGCTTCCCAGAAGACCTTTTCTAGAAATGCTGTGTCACAATGTGGGGAATCAGAAATGGTTTTAGAAGCGGGTGAGGGGAGGGTGCTTGGGGGTGTTGGTTTGTCAGGGTCTCGCATCATGTTCACAGAGGAAGTGCTGGAAGAAGTACAGGAAAGAATCACAGTTCTGTAAGTGCGAGTACGTATATTGTTATCTATTGTCATACAGCAAGAAATACAGTAGTGTAATGCTTGTGTGTTCTGGAATCAGCTGCACAATCAGTTGTATTTGTATTACTGAAATCTTTAGACCTCCAATTTAGATAAGTAAAAGGAAAACAAGTAAAAACAATCACTCTCACATGCCTTCACCATTACAAAATAAAAATGTGTGTAAATGATGCCAACTCCATTAAAAATGCTTCTTTGATCCTTCCATTTCACCAATAAACAAAATGAAATGATGAAATCGAAGGCAAGGGGTTGCACTGTTTGGTGACGTGGGATGTAATGGGATCTTGCCTGGCTAAAAAAATTGCCTGGTTAATGGGATCATCACACTGGAAACCAGCTGCCTTTCATGCTACAGGGCTGAGACTGACCTCAGCTTGCTCCAAAATCACAACAGTCTAGTAAAGTGTGTTGATGTATAAGTCCATCTGTTAGAGGAACACTGTAAATTGGATTTACCTGCACTTCAAGTGTAGGTTCATACCTGGGGTGTAATCTAGATGTTTTAGATATTTAAAAGACAGTCATTACAAAAACAAAGGAAAAATATAGATGAATTTTCATCAATTTCAGCTATTGCGAGATCTATCTAAAATCTACTGACAACACTGGTTTCAGTACGGTAGTTTCTTTTGTGCAGCCCATTATTTTTAGTCAGAAACTCAGAGTTACTGCTCTGAAGTTCACACTGGCCCTGGAGCCGAACAGTGGGGGTGATTTATTTCAGTGCAGTAGGTTGTAGATCAGGCCTCTCACCTGGACTGCATTTCCCTCAACACCTGGCCTGTTCACTCAACTCCAGTGGGGAGAAACACTGAGGATAGTGATGCTAGTCAGCTCACCCCGCACTTGTTGGTGTGTGTGTGTGTGTGTGTGTGTGTGTGTGTGTGTGTGTGTGTGTGTGTGTGTGTGTATAAAATAAATGCATGTCTGTGCTTTTGTCTGTGTACATGTAGGCTTGCATATGTGCACATACTGTATCACTCGCTCTGCTTTTCATGCACCCTAATCAAAGATGAAGTGTCCACGTGTTCACTGAAAACATCTGGTTCTAGGTTGCAGGCAGGAACTTCGCCTTTCTTTCCACTCCTATCACTTACACGCAGAATGGGAAAACTGCCTTGTACACACATACACTACCAGTCAAAGGTTTGTACACACTTTTCCCATGCACACACACGTAGTGCATTTTCTTTCTTTTTCTGTCATCGCTTTTTTCTTCTTGCCTAACTCTTCCTCATTGGATAGAAACGTCATCAACGCAGGTACTGGAAAACATCTGAGTGAGAGAAGTTCTTATCTACGAAATGATGCACTATGTTTCTGTTACTGCCTCCAAAGACGTGTCTGTGCAGATTCTCAGTCATCCAGGCCATAGTAAACCGAAATAACCTTAGAAAAAATCAACTGGACTTGGATTTCTAGATCGAAGACGTTTCACCTCTCATCCAAGAGGCTTCATCAGTTCTGACTGACTGGTGTTGAGCCGGAGATAATAGACATAATGATAATATATGAATGTTGCTTTACAAAAACCTAGAAGTCCTTTCATTTGTCCTTGTCTAAAAATGAATTTGGGCTTAATTACTTTATCATTAGCCTTTAACACCCAGGGACTAATCACACTTTGTATCTGTGATCGCTGTCCCTCAGTTCTCACATCTGTCTACATTTCAGTTTTGAAAATGTTCTCATCTCTTGTGTTTTTTCACTGCACTCTTTGGATCAGTGTCAGAGGTTCAGAGGTTCAGCCTGTCTGTATTTACTGCTCAAATGGAACTGCAGATGAGTGTATATCACTTTGTGTCAGTTGCACATTACACCACGCAGATTTCAAGTCACTCTTCTTTTTCTGTCAGTCCACCGACAACGCTGACTGTCCCTCGCCCCCCCCCCCCCAGGCTCTGCAGGAAAAAGTGGAAAGTCTACAGAGGCAGCTGCTCTGCTCAGAGAAGAAGCTGATTGGCAAAGACCTTGAAACCGAAGAGAAGGTAATACAGTCACTCTTTTTTCTCTGTCCTTTGCTTCTCTTTTTCATGCTTGTCAGGCATATACAAGAGAGGCGTGTTGTATCTCACTCAGACTCATTTGCTCCTCACTATGATTGTTGCATCACCCTTGCTGGCCAGAATTCTTCAGCTCGCTGCCCTCAACATATCTGACAAACCTCTTTTTGCTTTTTGCCAGCACACAACCTGTATATACGACTTTTTCTTATTAATTATATCATTATTTTTTCAACACTCAACTCTGCTCCTGCAGCACCTGACCCTTGACCCCGAAGTTGCCATCCTTATTAGACCACAAGAAATAAACAAACCTGATTCTTCCTCTCCTGTTCAAACCCAAATGCCCCCTTGCACATTTCCCAAATTCCTTAAAATGCCAGG